AGGCTGAGAGAGTTGGGGCTGTTCAGCCTGGAGAAGAGAAGGCTCCAGGGAGACCTCACAGCAGCCTTCCAGTGCCTGAAGGGGCTACAGGGAAGCTGGGGAGGGGCTTTTTACAAGGGCTTGTAGTGAGAGGACAAGGGGAATGGTTTCAAACTGAAAGAGGGCAGATTTAGGTTAGACATTAGAAATAATTTTTTTGTGTGTGAGGGTGGTGAGACACTGGAACAGGTTTCCCAGGCAAGTTGTGGATGTCCCCTCTCTGGAAGTATTCAAGGGCAGGTTGGATGGGGATTTGAGCAACCTGGTCTAGCGGGAGGTGTCCCTGCCCGTGCAGGGTTTTGGAACAAGATGATCTTTAAGGTCCCTTCCAACCCCACACATTCTATTATTTTATTATTTTATGGTGCTCCTCCAGCTCCCCCACTTCCACTCCCCTTGGCACCATACTGCCACTTCCCTCAGCTCAGCCCTGTGCTGCTGCTTCCCCTCACTAGGCAGCCCCCAGAGCACTGCCTGGCAGGAGAGCCTTGGATTTTTTGGCCTTGGATTGGGTTTTTTTCCCCATTTCATTTGCTGGCCCTCACCTCTGCCTTTCCCGTCTTTGCTTGCAAAACCCCCAGGCAATCCCAGTGCAGAGGGGCTTGAGTAGCACGTTGGGGCTGGTGGGAAGCACAGGAGGCACAAATAAGCTGGTGGGAATGGGAGATCCCCCTTTTTTTTTTGTTTACTTTTAATTTAATTATTTAATAAAACTGTAATTTTGAGTTATAAAGAGCAGTTTAATTGCACATGGGGCAGTGCAGCAGCAGATGGAGAGAGTGCAGAGAGTAGAATAGATAACGAATTAACAGAAACCTCACAAAGTTCAGAAAAAACAAATTCACCCAACATGTGGCTTAACATGGGTTTAAGGAAGAACTGAGGCAGAGTCACTTCAGAGGCCCACAGTGAAACAGCAAGAAGCAATGTTCTCCAGCTGCCACAAAGGAAATTCCAGTTGGTCCACCATGGGCACAGTGCTTAGAGAGGCTGGGAAATCTTCAGGCTTGGTGATGTTCATAAGATGCCTGGGCAAGGCTCCGAAGCTCACAGAAGGTGAGAAATACTGAAATAAAGAGTAATCAATGCAGTAAGGAAGTGCATGAAGAAGGGAAGACCTTGGCCTTGACCTCCAGAAGTCCCCTGGAGACAGTGTAAGGTACAGCAGACTAAGATGGTGAGTAAGGGTTTAAAAACCTTCCTAGATTGCTGATTCCATCAGGTTAGACTTTACAAATAGGTTACTGTACTCATTCACCCTAACTGGTCACTGCCAACCTTTTTGCAAAGTCGAAGCACTGACTGAATAGAAATCTCTCATTTCCAAATCTAATTGGGTGTTGATGGTGTTCAGGCTGGTTTCCCAAATAAGTGATGGCTATGGGAGCATGCTGACTCTCTGTCCTTCCCCCAGACACGTTTGACAAGGGATGAGGATCTCACACTTCTGTGTTTGTAGAAGTGTATTAAAAGTGGAGAGGCAGATGGCAGAGAGAGGCCTGTTGGCATTGCTGCTGAGGGAATCTACTCCATAATCAAGCTTCCTCCCATGTTTGATACAATTAAATTATCCCACAGATTTAACACTTCTGGGGTTATAACGTTATGTTTTATCCCCTTTGACTCTACTGTTATCTCACAGGGGACAGTTGTTATAATTTTATTAGAAGTCCACGAACAAGTTCAAAAGTGATGAGAACATTCATGAAAGATCCACTGAGGACATGTAAACAGATACAGCTTCTGGCTCAGTAAGTCTCTACGACTTAGACAGCAAAAAATGGGAGGAGATATGAGGGAAAGAAAACCATAAGCTTCCTTAAACCTCCACATCTGGCTTCCTTCCCCTCACCTCAGCCTTCCGTGCTGCTTTGGTTTGGTGGGTTTTTTTGTAGCAGAGGAAGGGCCCCAGGGGTGGCTCCAGGAAGAAGCTGAGAAGCTGCCCCTGCTCCAAACCCAGCCAAGGAGCCATTGGAGGGACTAGAGATGTGTCTCTGTGATGAACATACGGAAGAGCTGAGGCAAGAGCTGAGCTGAGCGAGCAGTTAAGGGATAAGAGCTGAGCTGGAGGGGGAGAGGTGCTGGTGGTTGGTGAGGAAGAGGGGGCAGAAGGTGCCCAAGCAGCAGTTTCCCTGCAGCCCATGGCGAGATGGCAGCTGTGCCCCTGCACTCATGGGGGAACGTGGTGGGACATTCCCTGAAGGCGCCAGGAGGGGGGAACTTGGCCCCTGGACTTGGATGTTGTGGCCAGAGGATTTGGTGCCAGTGGGCTCTGATTGCTCAGCTGTGGAAGCCCCCGGGCCAGGGGAGGTGGCTGTTCCCGAAGCCCCCGTGACTCTGTGGGAAGCCCAGGCTGGAGCAGCTCCGGACCTGGTGGGAAGGGCTCAGGAAGGAGAGGTTGGTGGAGGCCTCTGTGCCATGGGAGGGACCCCGTGGGGAAGCAGGGCAGGACTGTCAGGAATCCTTCTTGCTGAGGAGGCAGGAGCAGCAGGA